GGAGAGATTGCTCAGTGGTTAAGAGCACTGGCTGTTCTTCCAGAGGACCTGGGTTCAATTCCCAGCACTCATGTGGCAGCTCACAATTGTCTGTAACTCCAGTTCCAGGGGACCTGACATCCTCATACAAACAAATACATGCAAGCAATACACTAATGCATGTAAAATAAGAATAAACAAATAATTAAAAAGAAGAGTACTGTGGTCAATGGTGTCTCTTCTCAGCAATAGAAATCATAACTACCACACACACATATGTATCTAAATCTACCTACCTACATATATATGTAACAATAAAGAAGCCATAATTTTGATTTCCAGAGGGGGCAAGGAAGGTCATAGGAGGGACTAAAGGGAGAAAAGTGAAGGTAATGATCATGTAATTATATTTTAATTAAAAAACTCTCTTATAAATATCGAGTTGTATATGTATGGGTAAGGGCTTGTATGCTACCTGGGTGCTTCACTTTATGTTGCCGCCTCCCTTTCCATTAAGCATAGGTAGCTTGCTGTTTCTTTATTCTCACGCATGATGAGCACTGCTCTACCTTCTCTTTGTTCTGACATGTGTGCAAACTATTTTGATGGTGTCATTGAGATTAGCTGTCTACCTCTCTGAGAGTGAGGACCTACACACCCCACCTCCCTTCTTGGGCTGTGTGCTAGGAATGGGAATTTTATCCTTCTCATCACTTTCTGCTTTCTGTCTTGGGTGATCATGGTAGTTTTGATGTTTGAAAGGCACTTGAAGCCACTTCCTTAGATGTCTGCATTTTGCAGGTCTGGGATGTGTCGTCTACACTGTGATTCATAAACCTGCCCAGTTGTATTTGCTGATGTTTCAGCCTTCAGGTTTTGTTTTCCCAAGAGTGGAACACATGACAGGTGACACCTCTCTTTTGAATCTTCATGACCACAAATGTCACAGGCACAGGATCTTTATAGGTATAAAATAGAGCAGTGACTTTGTACTTCCAGTCCTGAGTATCCACACACTCATGTGTTCCTGATCATGTTACTGAACATTCCTAAAATACACTCTTCTTGGGACTGGGGAGATAGTTCAGTGGTGAAGAGTGCTGTCTGTTCTTTCAGAGGACCTAGGCTTGATCCCCACCACTCAAATAGTGTCTCACAACCATCTGTAGCTCCAGTTTCAAGGATTTGATGCTGTCTTCTGGTCTTCGAAGGCAACAGGCATGCATGTGTGCATAGATGCACATGTAAGCAAAACACTTGTTCAAATAAAATAAAAAATGCAACTTTCTCACCTATAAAAATGGATTCCAAGAGTACGTAAGAGGATTAATTAGGGTAACACAGTAAGGGGCCTGACATGCAGTAGTGCTTGATCAATGTGGGCTCCTCTGAAAGAAATGTAATGCATCTTAATAACCATGAGATTTAAACGAGCCGTGACCTACAATACACAGCCATCAGCCACATGTGGCGATTAATTACCGGATTTAATGATCTAGTCCCTCTGAAATGTGAATGAAGCCTGAGTATTCTTGCACGAGGGTATGGACACACACACGTGCTAATGTACACGCACAGAGGTCAGAAGACAAATGCAAGTGTTAGTCCTCTCTCTACCTTGTTTGAGACAAGGTCTCTTCTCTATTCTTAAGCTAGGCATGGTGGCCTAAAAGCTTGGGGTGCTCCTCCTTTCTCTCACATTCCTATAGACACACTGGGGTTACAGATACATGGACTACTGCTCTTTTGTGTGTCCTGGGGATCCAAACTCAGTCATCAGGCTTGTGTGGCACGTGCTTTAGCCACTGAGATATCTTCCCAGCCCTGACAATTCAGTTGTTATCATTAGTCACATGGTTAGTGGCTAGATATTGGAGAGTACCAGGATGTGTCACTGCCACCATCACAGGACATTCTTTGACAACAGAAGTGCTTGACGGAGACACATGCAAACTCAAGCTCCAACACCGTGGAAGTGAAATGCTAACCGGGCAGTTGGACTGCATTTTGTCACGATTTCTAAGAGGAACTTCGCAGCAATGCTGGGGGCGGGCGCTCGCAAGCACCAGGTCATTTGCCCCTCACTGTATAGTTCTATGAGCCCCATGACTCCGCCCTGAAAACAAAGTTACTAAGAAGGATGGCTTCGAGGATGACTTGAGGGACGCAACTTGGTTTAGTTAGGGTTTCTATCGCTGTGAAGACACCATGACCAGGGAAAGTCTTATAACAAAAAACATTTAATCAGGGCTGGGTTACAGTTCAGAGGTTTAGTCCATTATTGTCATGGCGGGAAGCAAGGCAGCATGAAGGCAGACATGATGCTGGAGAGGTAGCTGAGTGAGAGCTCTACATCTTGATCCACAGGCAACAGGAAGTAAACTGTCCCTCACACTGGGCATAGCCTGAGCACATGAGATCTCAAAGCCTGCCCCACAGTGACACACTTCCTATGACAAGGCCACATCGATTCCAATAAGGCCACACCTTCTAATAGTGCCACTCCCCATAGGACAAGCATTCAAGCACATGAGTCTATGGGGGGGGGCACACACCTATGCAAACCACCATGCACCCCTGGTGTTTAGTACAGGTACCTATATTCTGATGCTGTTCCAGTGTACCTGTAAGGATAAATTCAGAACCACAAATGTGCAGGTAGATGTTCATTGTGATGGAAAGACAAATTAACACAACTGGATAGGTTTCCATTGGCAAGTGTGACCTTTTGTAGACTAGTTAGTTCTCATAGGGTCAAAACCAGGAAAAACTCATTCCCTACTTTTTCATTTCTATTTCACGTTGATATCTGTATCTGCCTTTTCCAGTCTGAAAATAGTAAGAATTTCTAGAGCAGAGGTTGATCTGCCTTTTCTGTGATGGGCCAGAGATGAATATTTTAGGGTCATGAGGTTTCTATGGCAACTATGTGTGCTGTTGAAGCACAAACATTACCACATGACACACAGAAACTTAATTTACTCTAACAGGCCCTGTGGCCTTAGTTTGCCACCTTCAGGTCCCAAACTCTATGTAATAACCCACCCTGCCCCACTCTTCCAGATGTAATTTTTGCTGTTCTCATACATCTTATCACCTGTTGTATTTTTGAATATATATTGGATCCTGCCAAAGATCCCATTATATTTATAAATGTTTAACTTGGAAATGTCAAAAATAATTTTTATTCTCATTTTTATTAAAGTTTCCAGTTTAAAAACAAACATAATTCTCCACAATCCTTTTCTTTTCCTCGGGGAACAAGTACAGCGAGGACACAGACACACATCTTGCAAGGACTCATTAAAAGCAATCCACAGGTCTAGTTAGGTCTTTTGAAAAATTTCCCTGCTGTTTTACTAATTTATGAATGGAGACACAACTTCAATGAAGAAGTTCTGACTCTTACAAGTGCAAAAGGGTAACCAAGTCAAAGACATGGATGGTAGTAAGAGGGAGGGTCAGAGGCAAATCTCTAAATATGGTACTTGTTCTGGAAAACTGTGGCTGTCAATGGCTGACTAACACGCCAGTTAAAACCCTGCACAGAATGGAGTTCAGGTATCATATTTAGACTGTCACTTCCTTTCATAAACATTTTGTGCCTTTGTAGAGCCAAGCTTAAAAAGTACTGATCAGGGGAGCCGAGGGAACAGCTCAGTGGGTAAGAGTATTTGTGCAAGCGTGAGGGGCTGAGTTACAATGCCCTGCATCAACATAAAATGCAGGGCATAGCACAGAGGCCTGCAACCTCAGCTCTGTAAGAGACAGACAACAGGATCACTTGTGCTAGCTGGCTGTCAGTCTAGCTCCAGACTCCAGAGTGGGAGACTCTGCCTCAAGTGAATTAAGGCAGAGAGTGACAGAGTAGGACACACAGCATCCTCATCTGTGCACAAGTGCACATACACATACACACACACACACACACACACACACACACACACACGCACGCACACATACACGCACATGCACCCACGTGCACTACTGACAAGATTAAAAGGTAACTATTCTAATATTTTTATATAGTACAGGCTGCTAGGAGATTCAAAACACAGGATACATGACACACAGCGGCACTTAGGAGCCAACAGCACAGCTGTAGCAGATTCTCCACAAGTCCTGCAGAGTCTGTTTCAGGCACCCTTATAGGACACAGGCACCCTTATAGGACACAGGCATGTACTGCATCAACCACAGATGCATGGCATTGTGGGTACTGGTGTAGCATCAGGGATCCCAGCAATTCAAATCACACAATTAGCACTTTCAAGAAAGAAAAAAAAAAAAAGCTTAACTGCTCATTTGAAGAGAAAAACTATTGGCCTATTATTAACCCTTCTATAAAATAACCACATGTATGGTTTCATTTCTTCCTGCCTCCAAACTGCTTAATTAGAAACATCAATATACAAGACAGACACAGGCCTTTTCAAAGAACAAAGCTCATACTGTTGATTGTTAGCTAATTGACAAAATTCACGTTTACTTCTTTTTACTGTGTAAACTAGTTATTAAGCTATCAGAAAACAAGGCTTAAAGAGACTTAATAGTCATCACTCAGTGCGGTGTTCAAGAAAAGACATATGACTTGATCTAGTTGATGTTTTATTTCTCCATGGCATGTATGTATATATACTTTATCCATTTGTGAAATGTGTGAGAATAATGTAAAATGAACAAACAAAATCGTGTGGCCAGCTATGCACTGGTGTGTGGATGGGAAAACTGTTAAGGGTGGCCCCTGGTGTACATCACAGTGTTTGACTGGACCATGTTACCCTGTCCAAGATCAGAGACATATTTTTGGATTTGTGTCTAATATGGAAATTTTAGTCCTTCACTGAATCACCTGCCACAGCAATGGTCACATGACAAGGCAGAGTGGAGCTGGAACAATCTGGGGTCAACTGCAGTTTCCTAACTGGAGTTAGCATTCAGACCCAAAGGCTGGTGCCTTCACAGGAAAAGAACGGTGAAGCAATGATAAATTGACAGAAATGAGAAATAAGCAGCTAACATACCACTGAAAAATGAATTTATTTAAAATGTATATCAATACAAATTTATCAAAATTAAACAAAAAAAATCAAATTAAGAAAATTCCCATCACAAAAAAGCACATTATTAGAAAGGCCACCTTCTCTCCACTGACATTTCCCATCTCTGACAAGCTGGTAGATGTGAAATGGAGGGGATGAGAGGGAAAAGCTTCGCCACCAACACAGCCTGATCTTCGGTTTTGCCGCTCAATGAAATGGCTTAATCACTGTTTCATAAAAACCAGCATTCACCAACTATGACGTGAAACTGAACCTTTCATTTAAACTTGTAACTAAGGCTTCTGGCTGCAATTTAGTGTGAGGCAGGCAGTATATTCAACATATTAAGGCACAGGGTAAAATGTGTGCAATGTACATGTATTAATATGGGACTCTCAACAGAAACCACACTTTGGAACGTTCCCGGGCTTTCTAAGAGTGTTGGAATTAGGAGCCTGTGGAAACCGCTGTTCCTCCATGTGTCCTTCTGGAAGTCACTATGTTAAACAGAATCCTGTCTGAACTTGTGAGTCCTGCAATTTTTCTATTACAGAAGATTAAATGTCCACAAAGTTCTTGTGGATGGACCTACATCAGGCTTCAAATACTGTACCTATGCACATTATTTGGCCACACTGATTGTGGCCCAGAGCTGGCAGACCCTGCTACTGACTGGGCAAGAAAAAGTGTGAAACTGTAAGATGTGATTTTTTTTTTTTTGCAATGACTACAGTGCAAGATCAGCTTTAGGCACTCTGGATAGCTTATTTGAGAAAGTTCAGACTTAAGATTTTTTTTCAGATAATGATCCTTGTGTGTGACCCTTTCCCAGTGAGATAACATTGCTTTCACAGTGTTGAGGAAAGTGCCCTTCTTCACAGGAGCCCGGGGAAGATATCACTTCTTTGCCACACTGGCAACAGCTTTCTTGGCTGCATCCTCCAGGTCCTTGGCTGGTGTAATGGGGAGTCCACTGCTTTTGAGGATCTTCTGAGCCTCCTGGACATTAGTTCCTAGAAGAGGGGACAATGACAATTGTTAAATTCAACTGCAAGCAGCACACCCAGTCACAGTGGACAACTGAAATCCTAGGATGCCTGGTTTCCCTTGATGCCAACAGTTAATTCAACACATATGGCTTTTTCTTGTCAAGCTCTGGCTTTTCAGATATACCCAGATAACACATTCTCTCCTCTTCTTTTCACTTTAATGAACTCGCATTAGATGACACTGCCTGTGTTTTCTCCAGTACTCCAAAAAAAGAGAAATAAACATTCCCTAAGATCGTGCACACACAGTAAGTTTCCCAGCCACTTGCTCAGTAAGTTTGAAGGAAGAAAATCTAAACTGGAGCTGTCTCTTCACTGAGTCTGGGAGAAAGTGATGTAAGCATCTCATGAAACTGCTCCTGTGTTCTTATCCAGCTGCCAGGTGGCCTTTCTCTACTGGCCCAGATAAGAACAGGCATTCAGTCAGGTCAGCATGTCTTACACAGAGACGATGGCCAGGTGAGCAGACTGCGCTGATATGGTAGCACTGGCTCTTCTGGGACACTGAGTCTGCTAGAGCAGTGGGAATCGAACAATGGGCCCCTTGAGCAGCAGAAGGCACTGAAGCCTTTACCTCTGCCATGCATTTAGAGTACGGTGTTTAGTTAATCACTTAACTTCGAGTTTCAACTACTTAACAAAATATTTTGTTTTATGAGTGCTTTGCTGGCATGTATGTCTGTCTGTTCATGCCTGGCCTGCAGAGGCCAGGAGAAGGCATCAGATACCCTGGAACTGGAATCACAGATGGATGTAAGCCACCTTATGAATGTTGGGAATCAAACCAGAGTCCTCTGGAACAGCAGCAAGTGCTCTTAGCAGTGAGACATTACCCTCTCTCACATCCCTCCTTCTCTCAACAAAACCCTTCTTCTCAGCAACTCCCTACTTTCCAGGCTTTTTTGTGTGTGACCTATTGAGTTTAACTAAGGCTGGCTGCATGAGTGTGGGCAAAACATCATTACCGGAACCAAATGGGCACCAAAGAAAGTATCACCTGTTATCACAGCCACCATCATCGTCAGGAGTCCCTCTGGGAGGGGTGGAGCTTCAACTTCTTATAACTGTCTTCTTTGGAGCTAATATTCACTATGTACTTATGCATGCCAAGCAACTAAGATGCAGCACATGAATTTCAATAAGAGATATGAGAAGGTCCTATTGTCCAGCTTTTATAGATAAAGTAAGTGAGTTTATGGAGGTGATGAGTGGCAGAGAGCAGACTTACCTGCTCTATGTAATAACGTAGTTCTGCATGTTCCACACGCTTCTTTGTAATATGAAGACGGAAACACAATATGAGGGAAAGCATTTTGTTAACGACAATGTCTCTGTGGCATACATGGTGAGCTTTCCGCAAAGATTCCTGCTTCCCTTCTACAATGTAGGGCTGGGAAGGGGCTGCCTGGACAGAGATTATTTCCCAAGTACTCCTCCAGCTAAGTAGTATGACATGACAAGTCTGCCCAACAGAATGTGAGTGGATACGGAACACATGCTCATAACTATCTCCACATGACTTCTACTTTTCTCTGTTTGACTTTCAGTTATGTTACCAGTAAGGGTAACTCTGGGGGGCACCTTTTTACAGATGGCAATGACTTCTTTGGCTTAGACACTTGATTATGATATGGAGCCCAGTACTGGACTCACTCATCCTCCCAGACTCTATGTGAAGGAGAATGAGATTTCAATAATGCTAAACTCCTGATACATCAACATGGCTGTTATTCAGGGGCTGGCTGTATGTATGTATATTATTCTGAATCAAATATTGTGTGTGCATATGTGTGTGTGTGTGTGTGTGTGTGTGTGTGTGTACATGATGTACATGTACAGATGCCAATTCAGGTGTAGATCCTCAGGGGCTGTCCACCTTGTTTTTCTGAGACAAGGCCTCTCATTGGCCTTGTCTCAGAATCTAACAGGGATGGGATGTCACTTCTTAGGTGAGACATAAAAGTGTTGTTCGACTCTTAGATGGTCTTTTAATAAAAAACCCAGAGTCAGATATTGGGGTGAAAGCTGAAAGATCAGAGAAACAGAACAAGCCACAGCCAACCTCACCTTGCCAACTCCTCAGCTGATTTGTTTCCTCAGTCTGAAAGCCTCTGAGGATCTCAGCTTAACTCCTTTAATTCCTGTTTCCTCACGCCTTATACACCTTTCTTCGTCCTGCCATGTCACTTCCTGGGATTAAAGGCATATGCCACCAATGCCTGGTTCTGTTTCCAGTGTGGGCTTGAACTTACAGAGATCCAGAAGGACCTCTGCCTCCCGAGTGACAGGATTAAGGGTGTGTGCCACCACTGTCTGCTATGTCTAATCGAGTGGCTGTCTCTGTCCTCCGATCCCCAGGCAAGCTTATCAGGGTACACAATACATCACCACTTCAAAACCTGTGCTCTGTCTTGCCTGCTTTAACAGTTCTCTATTTATGCTGGCAAACTGCCACATTTCAAGCCACCCTATAGACAAGGCCCGTTTTCCAAGCACCCAAGGGCCACCTCTAGCCAACAGCTATGGAGGAATGAGGCAACCAGGAACAGAATCCTATTACCAACCACAGAAGCCAGCTTGAAAGTGAACTACCCGCTTAGCAAGCTGTGAGGTGTCTGCAGTTCTGTCCAACATACATCTGCTACAACCTGCTGAAGACTGAGGGGAGGACCCAGCTAAGTCACACCCAGATTCCTGCCCTTGGATATGTAAGATATTCACACCTCCTTTGTTACATGTTCAAATTTCAGGATCATCTGCCATACACAGGCAGATGCAAAGCTTTATTACTTAATTAACGCACCTCCAGTGTGCATTCTGATTCATCTGGTAAGGTTTGAGTCCCAGTTCCAGAGGCTGAGAAGCAAGACAGGGTTTGGACCACGGCATGTGTTAGGTAAGAGACTAAGGAATTCAGACAATGATCTGTAGGTGTGGCCCTCATGGAACAATGACAGAGTGAAGCAGAAGCCTGGCCTGACCCCAAATTACATCTCTGGACCAGAAGTTTGATGTGTAAATTTCTTCCTTCCGAAGCGAGATGGACTGGGATACCTTCGTCAACTGTGCCCACCCCCAGTCTGCCAGAGACAAAGTAACAACAGCTTTTCCTTTCTAACATTCTCTAGTCTTAGCACCCAGCTCCCCAGACCTCCACACAGCCATGGAACATACTGGCCTCTCCTGCACCTCCATCCTGAGATTTTGGGGGTTAGCTTGTTTTTCTCATGGTTCCATCCATTCTGAGAATTATTCACTCAGAATTCTCTATTCACTATTACCTGAGTTCTCCTCCACGTGTAAGGATGAATTAGATGCTGATTTTTAAAAAACTCACATATGAAGCTGCTTTTCCTTGTGACCAACAACATAAATAATTCAGATCCTTAATTAATATCATCTGCAGCATCTGGCTTAGCGGCAGTATTCTCAAGGGGAATAAAAAGGATGGATGTTAAAATTCACAAGTGCCTAGGCAGGCACCCAGAGCCCCAGCGTCCTCTGCCCTGGATACCTATCCACTCACTAGAAGCTGTCTCTCACAGTCTCCTGGGCCACCCTCCTTGCCACCACCTTCAACGTCCCAACTAGAGCAGCCTTGTCAAATGGGCTGCTAGAGTCTTCCATGATCTCTACAGGGCAGCAGGGACGAGCCCTGTGGGGAGGCTTAGTGGCATTTCCTACAGCCATGGCAGTACACACCCAAGTCGGGGCCAGTTTGCTTCTCAGGGTACCTTGCAGTATCCGCCACATGTTACATCTGAGCTGACAGACTGAGGACAGACAGAGTCACACATGGTGACGCCTGAGGAGAGAGGTGTGGGCAGATCCTTTTCTGATCATCTTGCAAGTAAGAGGGTTCTCTAGGGGCCTCGGCTGTGACTTCGTGCCCTGAGGCACTCTGTCTGCTCTGGCTCCTCTCCAGGGCGGGCTCTGAGATGCTACCAATTCTCTCACTGTGCAGCTCTGGTGCCCAGGGGAAGAGGCCTCCCTCTCAGGTTATGCAGGTGGGCACGGTCAGGGGGAGGGGTGAAGGGAGCAGCTTACACTCTTTCTTCCTGGCAACTCCTTCAGTGCCACACCAAAACACCCAACTGCTTCCTAATTCCAGGATCTACTAAAGCGAGTTTTAATTATACTCGCTGTTACACTTTAATTACAGCCTCAATTATTAAGCATATTCTAGCATTCTTGGAAGAAGCAGGATGTGAATGGATTGTAATGACTGTGATGAGAAATGGATCAAAAGAGAGGTGCCATGACCAGACAGAAATCAGGAGGGGCTTATGGGGAGACCAACCAGAGATACAAGAGAAGAGAGAGTCCTGAGGAACGAGCCAGAGAATGATACATGTGAAGAGAGAAAGGCCTGGTCGAAAAGGCATCCATACAGTGAAGAAACGGGGAGCTTGCCACGCGGCCTCTGCACGCGGCCCGTCCTTTCTCTTTGCTCCGTCTCTCTGAAGGCTTCTCCTGGCTTCCCCCGACGGCTGGGCTTCGCCCACAGCCTAGCCTGGCCAGCAATTACTACCATTCGCCTCCTCCTTCTGGGTGAGGAAGCAGCTGGAGGGGGAAGGGAAGAGAGGTTGCAGAGACAAAAGCAGCCAGTAAAAACCAGGTCATGGGCAACCAGGATGCCCTGGGCAAATGCCTGTGAGCTTCGAGATCGGTTGGCGAATGGTATTATTGGAGTGTGTGAGGTTTCCTCTGATCTCTGACCTCCATGGCTGACATCTATCCCCCAGCCCCTTTTCTGACTTTAGCTCTAAATAGAAACCATCACAGCTACTTTACACTGACATGGAATTAAGTGTTCCAAAGAGAGTTTTTATGCCTGTGCACACAATTACAACAGAAATTGATCGCTTTGCCACATTTAAATGGTGCTGCTGACATGCTCTAATATTTATTAAATGCTGCCATGCTTTCCAATGAGGCTGCAGGACAACATGCTTAATAACCAC